CCACTTAATCTCTTGCTTAGCACTTTGCCCTCTTGTTCTGTTTTTTTTTTTTTTCCTAAGGGCTCCCGAACTCACAGTGCGCTCATTCTAACTCCCTAAAGCATCCATCTACTCCAGGCATCACAGAGAGATGCCATTTGTGAACAATAGGCAATCAAATTGGCTCCTGGAAGAAGCTATCCAGGAAGTTCACACTAGTCCCATAAGCTAAATGGAGCTCTGGTTCTCGGAAGTACAGCTATCTGCCAGTGATACACAGTAGGTTTAAAGTGGAACAATCATGTGCTGCCTTCCAAAGCCAAAGACCAAGATGGAATCTTGTGTCTAAGAGGTCCTGCTGAAGGTTGCAACTCTCAGATCTATTTATGCTTATTGACTCTTTCACTTCAGAATGACATTTCCTTCACAATGCTATGTATTCCTTCAACTCTACATCCCCAACCACATCGAGGTAAATTTGACTCAACTTTGGCTTGGTCAGATTTCCTCCTGGGGAAAGGATTAGAATTGCTATACAGGAAATGTAGAGCTAGAAGTGCTCCAAAGTACAGCATCCTTTGCTTCATCTTTTGCTCTAGCAGCTAATACAGCGGTAGGAAGAGGCTGGGGCTCCTAGGTGTCAATTCACCAAGGGTTAACAAGGATTTCTCACCCATCTCTCCACCTCCCCCCTCCCCATTCCTAGTTCCATTTGAGGTGGAAGGGGTCCCTGTGGATTTGTCTATTTTACCCAAATGGATAGAGGCAGAAACAACCAGGAAAGTTAAAAAAAAACAAAAAAAAACAAACAACAACCCACACCACCTCACATAAATGCAAATGCCTTTGAAGTTGCCCAATGAGACTGTGGTTTATCGAGTAGAAATCATGCTCACACTGAACGTGCAAACCTCCACCTGGTCTTCAGATGGTAGTGATCCCCATGGACAGCTTTAAGACCCAAGGGAAAAACAGCTCAGGCTCATATAAGAAGCACAAACAAACAGGGACACACTGGTTTGGTATAGGCACAGAGGCAGGCCCGGCAGACTTTTAAGGGGTGGCTGGATCTTACAAAGGGGAATGGAAGAAGAAATGGTCAGAGGGCAAAGGGCAAAGGACAGAGGGGTGAGAGAAGCAGGTCAAAGCCAAGGCCAAGTTGAGTGATACTGTGTCTGGTAAAGTGATCACCAGGTGGCTAACTGGTGAAGCCTTAGGAAAAGCTTAAAAAAGAGAAAAAATATTACCCAACGTATATTTTTGGTAACTTTGGCCTCTATATTCTTATATTTTTGCCACCTTAGTAATATTTCCTCAGGGAAACTTGGAAGACAGAGGCTATAGTGATCACCTGGTCCAGCCTGCCAAAGCAAGTGCCACAAAAGTTTGCAGCTACTCCAGCATTGCTTGAGCCAGGAACTCAGTTTTATAGGAGACATCATTGCTCAGGAAACTTGCGTTGTTCTAGAGCCCTGCTCCCCACAGATTCAAGTTCTCCTTGCTTATTTCCTCATCCCCATACTCTGCTGTGTTCTTTAATCACAGATGGTTCCTACAGCAGATAGCTATGGCTTTTGCCACTATTATTCCTCCTCCTCTTCTTCTTTTCCTTACTTCTCCCCTTTTCCTCCACATTTTCCTCCTCCTCCCATCTCCTCATCTTCTTTCTCCTTTTTCCCCTCCTCCTTTTCTTTGTTAACAGTACTGGAATTTGAACTCAGGGCCTCTTGCTTGCTAGGCAAGTGCTCTGCCACTTTAGCCATGCCCTCAGTCATCCTTCTTTCTTTCTTTCTTTCTTTCTTTCTTTCTTTCTTTCTTTCTTTCTTTCTTTCTTTCTTTCTTTCTTTCTTTCTTTCTTTCTTTCTTTCTT